ATCTTCAATACAGATATATGTCAAATCAAATGATGTAAAATTCAGTTTTCTGATTCTTACTTGCCGTTTGAGTCAGAAATTGTGGTATTTCTATTTGATAATATTAGAATAGAACAGATAATTCAAATTGGCTGTGAAAAAAACAAAATAAATACGTTAGGAATAATAATAAATAAATGAACAGTTTCATACGATACATTGTCTGTAAGTTTTTCCTTCCGTTTTCTCAGATAAACTAAATAGAAGAAGAAAAAAAAAGAAGATTGAATCTTTTTATTATTATTTATTCACAAGTTACATTTCAATTATTATCTATTGTTTTTTGTTTCATTTTTACAATTTAAGTTCATTAGAACCTGTTCAAAATGAGGTAGAAGTTAGAAAGTTTATACTAATTGATAAACATACAGATTGCAACCAATTACATTTTAACACTTGGTTAAATCCAGACTTCGTATTTATATATATTTTGGCTAGCCATAGCCTTTATGCAGTAGAATTTTATATGTATTATTCCGAAGGTCAATCGGACATTGGCAAATGACTGGTAAAATTGGGTTTGGTCCGGTAAAAGTTATTGCTCAACTAAACCAAATGTCCAGTAAATATTGAGAATTTTTAATATGAAAAATAATAAAATGACCGGTAAAAATGGTCTTCGGTCCAGTGAAGTACCCATAATAACTGGACCGAATGTCTGGTAAGATTAGAAAGACCTTGGGAAATATGGGTCAGTGACAGACAGTATCATTTCGTTGTTTTATATATACAGACTGATCAAAATAGTTTCATTTCTAACGGGTCGACCTATTTAGGGAAACAATATTGAAATGTTTCAATGGAATATGTTTAACAGATACTTAAACAACTGTATGCGTATTAAAAAGAGTGAAAAATGTTTCAAGCAACTACAAAAAGGAGCGAGTAATGTAAAAAAAAACGCAGTTAAGTAGTAATAGGTTGGTAACTTTTTAATAATAACTGTTTTGATATTCTGGCTTTCTCCTAAATTGTTACAGTATTTGGAGAATTGTGTCTTTCGTTGTTTCTGTTAAAATTCACAATTTTTATATAAATTTCAAGACGTTCAAATCAGATCAAATAAGTTGTCTTTTAAGTTGGCAAGATACATAAAAATGCAACATACGCTCTGAGTGAGCTTTTGATTAACGATTTAGAACTTGACATATTCTTTAGACAGTTGTCTATTGTTGAACACTATATATATGTTGCCCTCTAGATGTGCTTAGGTAGTTTCTGTCGTTTAATTGCTGTCTTATTGGCGTATAACCCACATCTCCTTCAGTTTTAGTTCCGTTTGATATACTTTTAAATCAGTGTATGACAAATCATAAATGAAATGATGAGTGAATATATATAAATAGCTTTTCTTTCCCTCAAGAATATGAAGATTAATCGAAGAGAGATGTACTTAAACTTATAGTGCAAAGTAAACAAAATAAACCCTCCCCCAGGTTAGGGGGAGGGTTGGCGCCTTCAAACTAGTTTAACCCCGACACATTTTGTGTGTGCCTGTCGCCTGTAATTCAGTGGTTGTCGTTTGTTGCTGTGAAACATATTTGTTTTTCGTTCATTATTTTGTACATAAATTAGTTTTCTCATTTTAACTGTCTTACATTTGTCATTTCGGGGCCTTTTATAGCTGACTATGCGGTATGGGCTTTGCTCATTGTTGAAGGCCGTACGGTGACCTATAGTTGTTAATTTCTGTGTCATTTTGGTTTCTTGTGGAGTGTTGTCTCATTGGCAATCATACCACATCTTCTTATTTGCCCATACCGCATAGTCAGCTAAATATTAATTCCTTTTAAGTGACTATTTGGGGGGAAGTTAAAGATTGAAAAGTAAAACGTTTTTTTTTTTGTTTTATAGTCACTTAAAAGGAATTAATATTTAAAAAGTCGTAATAAAATTCCAATGAGAACAAAACCATTCCAATAGGTTTCAGCTATTTGGACATTTTAAGAAATTACAAAAAAAAAAAAATATCTTGTTTGACTTTGGAACACTGTTTTAAGATTTTAATTGTACACATAATATCATTAAATGTTTATCAGGAATGAGAAGCACTTTCTATTTCATAATTTGAAAGGACAAAGTGTATACAAAGTTGTTAATTGATCAACTATGCCGTAATTGACAGGTCAGTGGCGGATTCAAAAGGGGCGAAGATTGGAAAATATCTTAAGTTCTAAAATCGTCAAACTTTTTTATGGAACAATGCCCCTATACCTTTGAAAAATCCTGGATCCGCCCCTAAAGATAAGTTGAACTGTGCAGTATATCTGAGGTAGTTAATGCACACTTTGTAGTTAATGCACACTTTAGCTGAGCATTATCCAGAATATAGCACAGTAAGAACAAAGAGATTTTGCCTATGTCATGTGTTAAGTGCTTTTTTTTTCTACTTTGGAAAAGGGATAGGAATAGATGGAGAAAATAGTACTCCACTCACTAGGTTGTCTTATCAAATTAAGGAAATGACATTTTATATATGTGACAAATGTAATTTTTACCAAAATGTTTTGAATTGAACCTTTGGGACCCTCTACGCACAATGGAAATGCGTATGTTCTAACAAACTCTAAACGAAAATTCTATAGTTATGCCGCTAGAATATACATGCATAAATTAAAATGTAGAACAGTTTCATTTCAACCAAATGCAAACTGCAAGTTTTTTTTTCTGAATGTACGCTTGTAAATATTTATATGTAAAAATTTTTTTATTCAAAGTTGAATTATATGATATCGTGTGAAACACGACAAAATTTATTTGTTTATAAAGAATTGTTTTTCTTGTAAAGTAAATTATATTATTTTGTACGTAAGCAAATTGATTTCCATACATATATATCAACAAATTATTATGCGCATTTATAATGAAAATTGAATAAAATGTTAGTTACGGTTTCAAGGGCAGTCAGCACTGATTTGTTTATAGGTCGTGTAGTTTCAATTAGTAATTGATTGATTGATCGTTGGTTACTTATACGTCCTATCGCAAATATTGCATGCACGTTCAAGAAGAGATCTAATTAAAAAAGAATGTAATATCCACACTATCTACAGAAGCATCAATATAAAAAGGGAGGCACCTTTTCTTTATCTTACTGTATATATTTTCTGTATATTGATCCAACTATAACAGACGTAAGTTTACGCAACGAACGGTAATGACGCTATTTATAAACGGAGAATTTTATATTTGGAGAACGGATTTACCGGCCGTGCTAATTAACTGGATTCGACAGTAGTTGATTACACAAATTGCACCTTTAGGAATTTGAAAATGGTTAAACATTGTTTTTGTTCTTGGGTTGCTGTCTCATTGACGTATATAGAAAACACTTTCTTTTACTGATATTGAACTAGTATAAAACAATTAGAAAGTTTATTTTGTTTGAAGTGTAATTCCAGAGATATGATTTGTAAGTGTTTCTAATGTTTGGTACCATTCATTATGCTATTCCCATTTTGAATTCCAAAGCGGATCGTGGTAAAATAACTTGCCTTAAATCAAATGAAGACATAAAAAAAAATTAGACATACAAAAACGTAAACATAGAAATTGATGGTTCTCATATTTCACCAACATTTATAAGAACAATTGGATCCGATATTGACGTTCCATTTATGATTAGAAATTATAACAAAATGTGGAATTTTGTCAAAATGAAAACGGCGAAGTCTTTTTATACACATACAGTTGTTTTGTAAATAAAGGTAAAAAAAAAATAACAATATGTCATATGTGGCCTTGAAGAAAATAGCCTTTGACATTTATTGTACTGACCTCATCATTAACAATATTGTAATTATTTGTAAAAAATACATTGTGGTTATTTCGTCGTGAGCTGACCATTTATTTTCTATATCTAGTGACGATTGGCTATTCCAATATAATTAGTGTATTTCTTTCTAATTTCCCGTGTTTCTCTAACTACAAACAATATCCTGTTAGAAAAACTTCCAAATAAGCGGCAAGGGTTCGTTCGGATTTAACCAGGAACTACGTATGTAAGCATTAATAACTGCTGAAAAGCAAGATTACTTTGATTCTTATTTTCAGAAAAGATTATTTGTACATTCTGAATCAAACATGTCAAAACATTTAGGTCGTTTTGAAGCTACACAGAATCGTGTGTGGATTAAACTGAACATTAAAAGATGCGATTTAAAATGTTTGAAGCACACCAAACTTGTCAATGTCAGCGGGTCGTTTTGAACATGCATGAAACATTTGCAACTGGACATTTTCATCGGAATAAAATTCATTTGGTCATTACCTCAAGGAAAGTATTTGCAAAGTGTGACAATTCTAGGATATTGTGTTCTAATAAGTTCTATCAAAATACCGACCGCATTCCGTATTAATGACAAGTTCAAAAGCTTTATTGACAGACGTCTATTTGTATACAGAAAACATAAGCTCTATTGAGCTTTTATATCATCTTATTACAAAAAAAAAACATTTATTTTTCATGTCGGGTCCTTTTATAGCCGACTATACGGTATGGGTTTTTCTCATTGATGAAGGCCGTACGGTTGCCTATAATTGCTTACTCCAATTCATTTGAACTTTGATGGATAGTTGTCTCATTGGCAATCATACCACATCTCCTTATTTTTATATTTAAAACAAGCACGTTTAAAACAAAGAAAGAATACAACACACGCAAGAGCGTGTAGGACCAATGACCAATGTATTTGCCTTATAAATGTTAAGTCGAGAGATATAAAGAGGTTTACTATGACAAGGAAGATGAATTTGTTTTTAAAATCCATTTATTTCATTTTTTTTTTAATTCAAAGTATGCAAAATTGCGTAATTGGCTTTATTTACATAAATAAATTTATGTTTTTGTTTTCCAAGGCTAAACAAGTGATCATATAATAAATTATGCAGTAAAACTAACATTGTATAAAACAAATCGCTTTAAGTTTTCTTATTCATACATATATACTTTTCATTTAAAGGATACAAATGTTGCTGGGATCCACATGTATTGTATATATATTGCTGACTGGCATCCATTGTACCAGTGGGTTCGGTAAGTTAAAAAAAAATGATGTAAAATGCGTATTTGGATATTTTTTAACCTTTTTTTTATTGATTAACGGCTTCTGTGCCATGGACTTTTAATAATTAAACCTAGCACCAATATACTTGTTTGAAACAATTTTAAGGAACATATAAGCCTGTGTGTGAGCCTGTGATTGTTTTAATATAGATGTATATCTCTGTACAAATAGTGACATTCATGTGGTAAGATTTATATTGTTGTTATATAGTCACTGTACTATTCAATTCATTTTTAGCTCATTAGCTCACCTAGCCTGAAGGGCCAAGTGAGCTTTTCTCATCACTTCGCATCTGTCGTCCGTCGTCGTCGTCGTCGTCCGTCGTCCTTGATTTTTACAAAATCTTCTTCTTTGAAACTACTGATTCAAATTTAACCTAACTTGGCCACAATCATCATTAGGATATCTAGTTTAAAAAATTAATCCGATGACCCGGCATGCCAACCAAGATGGCCAACATGGCTAAAAATAGAACATAGGGGTAGCATGCAAGTTTTGTCTATTATTTTGAAAACCACTATTAATAGAGACAATCTGACGGGTCACAAATGTTTGGAATGATGAGATCTACATATTGTCTATTTACTTCCAAACTGTCAGACGACATTTTATAGGAGTTATTGCCCTTAATTTTCCCAACTTTTTAAATTTATGCCTATTATCTTTAAAAATTATAAAAGATAGAGAGAAACTTTATATAGAAAAAAATTATCAGCAAGATAAATTCTACAAATAAGTCAAATGGTTGAAATCGTCTGATGACCTCTTATTGGTGTTATTGCCCTTACATGACGATTTTAACCATGTTTTGCGTTTTTGCCTAATATCTGGAAAAGTATAATAGATAGAAACTTAGACAGCCAAAAATAATCAACAAGACAAGATCTACAAATAAGTTGAATAGTTGAAATCGTCTGATGACCTCTTATTGGAGTTGTTGCCCATTAATGATGGCTCTGACCATTTTGTTGCCGTTTTTGCCTTATATTTGAAAACACCATAATAGATAGTTAGAAACTTAAATAGGCAAAAATAATCAACAAGACAAGATCTACAAAAAAGTTGAATAGTTGAAATCGTCTGACGACCCCTTATTGAAGTTATTGCCCATTAATGATGGTTCTAACCATTTTTTTGCGTTTTTGTCTTACATCTGAAAAACTATAATAGATAGATAGAAGCTTAAATAAGTAAAAATGATCAGCAAGACTAGATCAACAAAGAAGAGATTTTTGTTATGAATTCTATTCTAGTCCACAAATATGTAGAGTATCCATTGTTGAAGATGCACATAGACCTAGGTGAGCGACACAGGCTCTTTAGAGCCTCTAGTTTTAAATAAGAAAAGATACCATTGTAATAATTTATATGAAATTGTCTTTGCAGTACACACATGGGGATATCATCACGGAGTCAGTAAGTTTTAAAATTGTCTGCTTTACCTTATTTTCTTAATAGTGCTTATTCGATTTCTTATTCTTTTCTCGTTTATGTTTTTATAACCTTTATTTTATCAGGTTCTTGTCAAGTATACAATGGCGGCCGTCAAAATCTCGAAGAATGTTCGCTATGTTAATGCGTCAATGCAATATTTCCAGGGAAAAAAATCCCACTAATCATCCAAGTGGGCCTAACTTACAGAAACTTACCTATTGTTTAAAGTTTTAATTGTAAATTTGTTCTCGTTCTGCATATGCATGAACTATTTGACACTGGGTGTTAAACAAACAATATTTAATATCATTCATTTGTGTACGATCCTTACGACATTGCAAGAAAATATTACTCTATCAGATGATGCATTAATGATAATGCACAAAAAAAAAAAAAAAATTGAAACTGGAAAATGTCAATTGTAAACCGTTGATAATTGAAACGCTCATCAACGGTATATTTCTCTAAGTATTTGACTTTGTCTCGTTACTTTTTTGTTCGCGGGGGCTATGACGTACTATTATCTATTCTATTTCGCAGTTTTGAAATTAAGTAATAGTGCTGGAGCTAGTACTGTGCCCCTAAGACAAAGTTGACCTTTGATGATTTTGGGGGCTCTGTAAAAACTCTTGTTGGTTTACTATCAGACGTTTAACGCATTTTTTCTTGGAGCATCTGATGAAATAATACTGTCTCGTACATTGAAATTGCTACCAGACGTTTATATATAGGTTGGAGTACCTGAACAATGGACAAAATGTTTGTGCAATAAATTATTGATTTAAATATCTACTACTTTCCTTATCAATCCATATATACAAAAAAAAAACTACCATAAACATAACTAAAGTTATTCTCGAAATCGCAGAGCAAGTTATCCCAAACCGATTTATAAATGTAAAAAAAGGCGACCCCCCATGGGTAACTACAATGCTGAAAAAAATTATAAAGAAAAAAAATAGATCCCATAAGAAAGCCAAACGATCGAACACACCCTATCAGTGGGAGAAATTTAGAAAAGTTAGAAATAAATGTAATACTGCTGTTGAAAACGCCAAAACTGATTACTATAAGAAATTATCTGATAAAATTATGAACGAACCCGTTAATAGTAAAAACTGGTCTAAAATGGTCAAATCATTATTTGGAAGGCAACACAAAGAAATTCCTTTACTGAAAGTAAATGACGAAATAAAAGATGATCGTGAAAAAATGGCTGATATCTTTAATGTATACTTTAGTGATCAGTCGAATATCGATGATTCTAACGTCCAACTGCCAGATTTAGAAAAGTTTACTTCAGAATTATCCACAATAGAAATTACAGAAAAAGATGTTGAGGACATATTGTTAAATTTAGACACGTCGAAAGCTATTGGGCCCGATTGCGTAAGTCCTCGGTTATTAAAAGAAGCGAGTAATATTGTTAAACGTCCTTTTTGTAAATTATTTAACATGTCTATTTCTGTTGGTAGGTTTCCCAGTGACTGGAAACTTGCCAATGTTATTCCTGTTTTCAAAAAAAATTCTTCTACGGAAGTATCAAATTATAGACCGATTTCCCGGATAAGTGTTCTCGGTAAAGATATGGAAAGATGTGTATACAAGCATATTTACAATTACTTACTTGAAAATAATATTTTGACGGACAACCAGTCAGAATTTACACCTTGTGACTCGGCTATCAATCAATTATTATATTTGACAAACGAATTTGGGAGGGCTTTAGATGAGGGTAAGGAAATTCGGGTTATATTTTGTGATATAAGTAAAGCTTTTGATAGAGTTTGGCATAAGGGGCTGATTCGTAAATTAGAAGCAATTGGTATATCAGGTCGGTTGCTTCACTGGTCAAGGACTACTTAAGAGGCAGAAAGCAACGAGTGGTTATTAACAATAAAACGTCAGGATGGCGAGACATTAATGCCGGTGTTCCTCAGGGATCAATCCTTGGTCCTCTCTTCTTTTTAATATTTATTAATGATATTGTAGCTGAAATTCAGTCAGAAATAAATTTTTTTGCAGATGACACAAGTCTGTATCTTATAGTGGACAATCCAGTAAATGATGCATTAAAGTTAAATGAAGATTTAAAGAAAATTCGCTACTGGTCTGAGAAGTGGTTGGTTAATTTTAATGCAAATAAAACTTAGAGCATGACCATATCCCGGAAACTTAAAAAACCATTTCATCCACAGCTTTTCATGAATAATTTCCCTTTAAACTCTGTAAATGAACACAAGCATCTTGGTGTGATACTGTCAAACGACGGTAATTGGCACAAGCATATCGATATGATGGTTAAAAAAGCTTATTCCCGCTTAAATATACTTAGAAAATTTAAATTCATTTTAAACAGAAAAACTTTAGAACAACTTTATTCTTCTTATATAAGGCCGGTTCTTGAATATGCTGATGTAGTTTGGGATACATCTACATTGATTTTAGTTCATAAAATAGAAAGCGTCCAAATAGAGGCTGCAAGGATTGTGACTGGAGGAACACGGTGAACATCTATTAATTTACTTTATAAGGAAACGGGATGGGAAAAACTAAAGGATAGACGAGAGGCCCACAGACTTACATATTTGTACAAAATGTCTAACAATATTACTCCATATTATCTTAATAATATTTTACCTGAACGGTTCCGTAATATACATGAATATAATACGTGTAATGCGAATGATTTTCAACCTATTGCAGCTAGAACAACATTATACTCTAACTATTTTCTCTCATCAACAGTAAAATCCTGAAACTCTCAGACATTGAACTACAAAATAGTCCGCCCCTTCTCGCCTTCAAAAATAATTTTAAAAGCAACCGTGAAATTAAGCCGGTATTTTATTATTGTGGTTCCAGATCCGGTCAAATATATCATGCGAGAATAAGAATGAACTGTAGTGGACTCAACAAACACCTCTATGACAGATACTTGATACAAATCCCGAAGTGTGTTTGTGGAGACCCTGAAACAACGGAACACTATTTTTTAAAATGCAAAATATTCAATGTACCTCGCCAAAGACACATTCACAACCTACAGATTCCAATCAAAATTTCAACTAATGTCTTACTTTTTGGCTCCGATAGACTCGCAGTAGAACAAAACATACTGATATTCAAAGCTGTGCAAAACTTTATTATAAGTAGCAATCGATTCACATCCACAATCAAATAATTCTAATTAATCACTCCTCCCCTATATAAAAAAATATTGTTTCATTCTTTAATAACACTCTCATTTTTTTTTAAATCGCCTATCACCCCCTTCCTTTGCTGTATATTTTTTTCTTATGAATTTTCCTTTTGTTATTATAATCATTGACTGTATTTTGTTACATATTTATTCGTTTGCTATTCATCATGTATTCATAGATTGTAATCTTATTTTCGAATTTAGGGAGACAGATTTATATAAGAGCACTGCTCTTGTTTCCTAATCCCAATTATTGAATCTCTTGTATATTTCGTATTTATGTCTTTACCCTTGTAGCTATATATTATATCGATTTCTTTAATAAAATATATTTACAGTAATGTACACTGAAGGCCGTACGGTGACGTATAGTTGTTAACCTCTACGTCATTTAGTCTCTGTTGGTGAGTTGACAATCATTACACATCTTCTTATTTTTTTTCATATTACTCTCTATTATATTTGACTGTTCATACTCTCTAATATATTTGACTGTGCATACTCTCTCATATATTTGACTGTGCGTACTCTCTAATATACTTGACTGTGCATATTCTCTCATATATTTGACTGTGCACTGTCCAGAGCTCCAGATAAGCTGCGTATTTGCGTGATCACGCAATACAAATAATTAAAAACCCAATGCAATTGCCCATTGCAGGGTTCAAAAACCCAATTCATTCAAAGGAAAACCCAATTATATGCCAAAACCATGAGTTCTTAACGCTTTTATTCGCTATCGTTTGCGTTATTTACCCTTATCTGATTACAGTCGTCGGGTAAATCTATTTTTATAATATTTATAATTGGAAATGTCCTTTCGTTCTAAAAATAGAGCCCTGCATCAAGTAGCCGAAATGGGTCCCTATTGGAATTTTCCGTTGCTCAAAAGGTATATACACGTGTTTATGAAAACATTTCGATCTTCTCGGCGTTTATCCAATTAGCGTTTATCTTGTTGTCATATTTTTTTCGAATTGCTCGGGATTTATCATAACATACAATGAATTAAAACGAAAGTAAATATCCGATAAAAATATTGAATAGAAGCATGTTTTCAGCTTCTTTTTGATACTTTAGGGAAAGTTATTATGATGATAACAAGACCCGTTTGCGTACTTTAACGAGAACATTGCTAGAACGATAAACACAGGGTTTTGTCAAGAACGAAATCAGTTGGAAACAGTGAAAGGCCAAATCAATTATGACACGATATATGTAGTTGGAAAGCATCAGAAACCAAAAGTTCTAATCAGCTGGGACAAGTTAACCCTGGTTTATGTAAATTAAATTAAACAAAAACATTCAAGTATAATTTTAGTTTATATATTATTTTTTTCATTTTAGTTGATGAGTGAATACACATAATGACATATCCGTTTTTACGTCAATGCATCTTGACACTTTCTTTGTTTTGGTCTTATTGTTCTGTATGCTTATGATAGTTATCTTATTGGCAAGTGCAGTTTCACATTGTCATTTATTTATTTGATGTTGCAGAATTATTTGTAAATTTAACTCTGTAAATTTAAGTTGAATGTGGTCTCCGTCATTAAACCTATAAAGCTGGTCAAGGTTTTGGGGTATATCTTAAATCTGGGAACTACTTATTATTTTTATTAAAAAGTAGATCTGGCAAATAGGTGAAAGGACTGGCAAAACTTTCTTACAGCACCTAAATTTCACATATATTACATAAAAATCTAAACACTTAGCCACGCCTACCCCAACTAAACTGTGGGGTGATCATATGGGATCTAGAAAGGTAATTAGTAACTGTCCAACTAGTGACACCAGCTGCAGTTTATATAAGTTGTGATAAAATACAAAACTGGCAGAACGTTTAAAATCGGACACAAATTAAACGTCAATTGTTCGTCAGTGAATAAACCAAATAAAACAGCTAGCATATATACAAAGAAAGAAACACATTTAAGATGGAAAAACATCTTCATGGGGTTGATATAATGTGATTATAACATGCCTAAACATTCAATATTGTGTTGATGAAAAAACCCAATACATTAAGGGGCTTGGTGGTGAAAAACCCAATTTGATATTTGCTTGAGGGGTGAATTGGAATTGATAATGCAATTTAAAAACTTTATCACCCAATTACATAAAAAAATGGTGGGTAAAAACCCCAATTTGTGAATTCTTATCTGGAGCTCTGGCACTGTCTATTATATTTGATTGTGCACACTCTTAATTCGAATGATTTGTATGTGATATTACATTTAATACGCATCTTAAATAAATCTTGATATTCATTTATATTGTTTTATTTTCTCCAGTGCCAAAGAGATGGGGAGTCTTATATTCAACATGCGAAGGTAAACATCAGTCTCCCATAGACATACGCAAAAGAGATGTGGTATATGACCAAAATTTGCAGCTATTCAATTTAAATGACCTAGATAGAATAGACGATGTAATGGCGAAATTAGAAAATAACGGACATTCAGGTAAATCTAAAAAAGATTGCAGTCAGAGTGTGTCAAATTCCGAAATAGATTTTGTTGTTTACGAGCTACACATGAGTTGCGTCGGATAGAAATCGACCTTATCGCAAATAAATATCAATACCTCTGTTAACTTATTTCGAGTTGAAAAAATCTCTATGCAATATCTGTAACTGTTTGAAAATTGAGTCTATATAAGAACCCTAAAAACAGGCATAATTCATCTTTTATTTCGTATTTGAATGTTACAAAATTAATCAAAGTCGTATACATGTACGCGCACTTGCGACTTTCGATTTCTATCCGACGCAGCTCACATGTAGTTTTACCACCTTTTCATCGTGGCAAATACATGAGTAATATGTATTTTCGTTGTGGTGTCGCACCTATTCGAATATAGAAACATGAAGATATGCAAATATATACGTATCAAAAAAGGGTGTGTTTTAATTATAATGCAATTGAAGATGAAAAACATGTATTATTGAAATGTCCAATATAGGCAGAATTACGTGATAGTTTTTGAATCCCGTTTATATCTAGTCTTTAAAACGTTAATCTTATGAACATATCCGATGATGTAACACTTTTTTATGTTTAATAATGGCGATATGCAATGACATACTTCCCAGATTGGCAATACATATTTAAAATAAAATAGGTTTTTTTATGTATAAACTTAGTACATACATATCTCTAATAACACTTTGGCTTATGTTTTTACTTTGCATATGTCTTTGTTTTATGTATATGCCAGAGCTCCAGATAAGCTGCGTATTTGCGTGATCACGCAATACAAATAATTAAAAACCCAATGCAATTGCCCATTGCAGGGTTCAAAAACCCAATTCATTCAAAGGAAAACCCAATTATATGCCAAAACCATGAGTTCTTAACGCTTTTATTCGCTATCGTTTGCGTTATTTACCCTTATCTGATTACAGTCGTCGGGTAAATCTATTTTTATAATATTTATAATTGGAAATGTCCTTTCGTTCTAAAAATAGAGCCCTGCATCAAGTAGCCGAAATGGGTCCCTATTGGAATTTTCCGTTGCTCAAAAGGTATATACACGTGTTTATGAAAACATTTCGATCTTCTCGGCGTTTATCCAATTAGCGTTTATCTTGTTGTCATATTTTTTTCGAATTGCTCGGGATTTATCATAACATACAATGAATTAAAACGAAAGTAAATATCCGATAAAAATATTGAATAGAAGCATGTTTTCAGCTTCTTTTTGATACTTTAGGGAAAGTTATTATGATGATAACAAGACCCGTTTGCGTACTTTAACGAGAACATTGCTAGAACGATAAACACAGGGTTTTGTCAAGAACGAAATCAGTTGGAAACAGTGAAAGGCCAAATCAATTATGACACGATATATGTAGTTGGAAAGCATCAGAAACCAAAAGTTCTAATCAGCTGGGACAAGTTAACCCTGGTTTATGTAAATTAAATTAAACAAAAACATTCAAGTATAATTTTAGTTTATATATTATTTTTTTCATTTTAGTTGATGAGTGAATACACATAATGACATATCCGTTTTTACGTCAATGCATCTTGACACTTTCTTTGTTTTGGTCTTATTGTTCTGTATGCTTATGATAGTTATCTTATTGGCAAGTGCAGTTTCACATTGTCATTTATTTATTTGATGTTGCAGAATTATTTGTAAATTTAACTCTGTAAATTTAAGTTGAATGTGGTCTCCGTCATTAAACCTATAAAGCTGGTCAAGGTTTTGGGGTATATCTTAAATCTGGGAACTACTTATTATTTTTATTAAAAAGTAGATCTGGCAAATAGGTGAAAGGACTGGCAAAACTTTCTTACAGCACCTAAATTTCACATATATTACATAAAAATCTAAACACTTAGCCACGCCTACCCCAACTAAACTGTGGGGTGATCATATGGGATCTAGAAAGGTAATTAGTAACTGTCCAACTAGTGACACCAGCTGCAGTTTATATAAGTTGTGATAAAATACAAAACTGGCAGAACGTTTAAAATCGGACACAAATTAAACGTCAATTGTTCGTCAGTGAATAAACCAAATAAAACAGCTAGCATATATACAAAGAAAGAAACACATTTAAGATGGAAAAACATCTTCATGGGGTTGATATAATGTGATTATAACATGCCTAAACATTCAATATTGTGTTGATGAAAAAACCCAATACATTAAGGGGCTTGGTGGTGAAAAACCCAATTTGATATTTGCTTGAGGGGTGAATTGGAATTGATAATGCAATTTAAAAACTTTATCACCCAATTACATAAAAAAATGGTGGGTAAAAACCCCAATTTGTGAATTCTTATCTGGAGCTCTGATATGCACATGAGGTGAGACTTAAATTAAGAAATAATTTATGGGGGCTTGAATATATCGTGATTTTACCACGAGTTGGCCCTTTATGACAAATATTTTACCATGAGCGATAGCGAGGGGTAAAATATCGGCATAAAGGGACAACCCGTGGTAAAATCACGATATATTCAAGCCCCCATGAATTATTTCGATTCTAATACGACAAAAACGGCAATTGTTTTGGATCGAAGCGCTCTAGATGAAGGCATTATTTGCCGTTCCCATAAATAAACGCACTATTAAATTGACGTAACAGACCGGAGCAAACTGAATAAATGACATGCTTAAACTATTTACAATAACATATTTAGATAGGTTTGGATGAATCTAAATGATAATTGTACTTATATGTCTTATATGTATACAAAAAATGGCTTATATAACACATTTAAGCATCGTTTGTTTACGTTTCCTTGATGTGATGATTTTCGGTTTCACAAGCGTGTATTTTCCCGTAAAATGCTTATATTCTTACGTCATCGTTCTATGACGTCGGGTAGCTACGGAGCCCTGTTGGTCTCACACAGATTATAAAGTGTCTTTTAAAGTCCTGCGCTGAAGATGTGTAAAGTCTAGCGCTGGAGATGTAAAGTCTAGCGCTAGAGATGTAAAGTCTAGCGCTGGAGATGTAAAGTCCAGCGCTGAAGATGTAAAGTCTAGCGCTGGAGATGTAAAGTCCAGCGCTGGAGATCTAAAGTCTAGCGCTGGAGATGTAAAGTCAAGCGCTGGAGATGTAAAATCAAGCGCTGGAGATGTAAAGTCTAGCGCTGATGATGTAAAATCAAGCGCTGGAGATGTAAAATCAAGCGCTGGAGATGTTAAGTCTAGCGCTGGAGATGTGCAAAGTCTTGTTCTGGAGAATTAATGACCTTGACCTCAATTTCACGTATGAGTGACTTGTGTCACATTTTCTTGATTAAGTATATTTCTCGTCAACTGAAGTAACTAGACCCACCATATTTTGTCTACAGACACTTCTTGGAGGCTACACGCCAGTCTGCCACATATCACCTGACCTTGACTTCAATTTCATGCACTAACATAAAAAACAAAGACACCTGTTGAAACTTCTGATTCCTGACTTGGGACAGGCACATGGAAGTGTGGTGGGTTAACTCGAGTTTTGGAATCCTACCCTCCCTATATCCTACTATCAAAGGTAACAAAGAGAAAAAACAATCAGTAAAAACCTGCATCATATTGGGTCTACAAATACTTATTGTTGGGTACATGCCAGTTTGACACATGCTACATGTACCTGACCTTGACATCAATTTCACACTTGAGTGAATTGTGTCGCATTGATTGACAATGTGGGATATAGGATAACCTTAATTCTGAGTCCACATCCATATTCGGGCGAGACATTTTTATTTGTTCACACTTGTTAAATGCCAAATTTTTCCAAAATGTCTCTTCTGAAACTATAGGACAGCTGATGACATGTGAGCAATACAACCTCATTTGAGTCTTTAGTTTGTCTTTTCTCTGTAAAGCTGATATATATATATACATGCAAGATTGTATGGCCGGAAATTGAATTTTGTAGCATTAGTACTATTCTTTTGTATTCTGTTGGAATGGAAATTCCTATTTTTGTACGGCCACAAATTTTTATGGTTGTATTATGGTGTGATTAGGTCATCGTTGTTGTTTTTGATTTTAATTAAACATTATCAACATGAAAAATCATAGTTCTGTCTTAGTCATATCAACACCAAACCACCCTATTGTATGGGCAATGGGCGAGGGGATTAGCTGTTTCATCATATGGTATTGACAACTCCTCCTAAACTGTTGGATGGATTTCAATGAAACTTTACACAAAGGTAATATACCATATGAAGATGTGCATGAATGTGCCAAATAAATGACACCATATGAAAAAATAAATTCTGGTCCAATGACTTGAAGGGGAGATAATTGAATTTGGGCATTTATTTTATCCATCATACTTGTAAGGGCACCTCCTCTTAAACCGTTTGATGGATTTTAATGAAACCTCACACAACAGAGTAGTATAACATATGAATATGTGCCTAAAGCAAAATAATTGACAGTCCAACATCTTGAAGGAGAGATAATTAGACTTCGACATTTATTTGATTCATATGGTATTGACAACTCCTAAACTGTTGGATGTATTTCAAAGAAACTTAGTACACCATATGAAGATGTGCATGAAGCAAAACAAATCTGGTCCAACATCTTAAAAGGGAGATAATCCAAGATTGCCGCCATCACAGGATTTAGTGTAACATAGAACCCTATTGGAAAACATGAAAACTGCTCTTTTTGAGAGACCTTATGACATATTGAATCAAATTTATGCATGAATGATTAAATGATGACCCTTCATTGATTTTATAATTTTGGTGCCGATCGGAAATCAAAGATGGCCACCACAGCCGAACATAGTTTAGCATATAACCCTATGGAAAAAGCATGCAATAAAAAATTTCTACGGAGAAATCGTTTGACATATTGATTCCAGTTTAGGCCATGGCAAGACAAAATATACCAATGTTTCCTATTTCCCTACCTACCCTAATTGTTATCCCCTACCCTAAACATTTTATTGCAGTTTTTCAAGAAGCACTGTTAAAAGGAATATCTTTCT